GAAAGAGAAAAGTCTTGCATGTCATATAATCATCACCATAGGGTGACTCTCAGAATGTATGATGGCATAAAGCTGGAAGTACAAATAACACTATTTAAGTCTGCAACCCTTAAACCACTCACTCCATACTAGATGACTGCAAGATTTCAGCCCATATACTTTCACCTTTGTTTCAGTTTTAAAAAAATAAAGAGCCTTCAATAAAATATATATACCGAACCTTACAACTTGTATTTTGCCTGAAACAGCTAATTCAGCAAAGATGACTCTTCCTCACACTTTAAATAGTCGTTTGTAGAAGAGAAAGCAGCAGTCTGAGGTGAGCCAGGAGTTGAGGGATGAAGCCACAAGTCAGGGTCAAACAGCTACCCAACTGCTCAGGCAAGCTATGATATTTTCTATCATGTTGTCTTAAAAAAGCTGGGCAGATTGTCATTAGATAGGATACCTGCAGGTAATATATAAGCTAGATGCACATAGAACTGGGAGGAGATCTGCTGTTACTAAATCATTGTTGTTATTCATAAGGTTACATGTTATTCATAAGGTTGATGTTGCAAATCAATAGGGCAAAGGGCTCCAAAAGGTTCTCTTTAAGTGAGGTGAAAAACAACAAAATGGGAGATGTGAGAAACTCTCTCTTCTTAAGATAAGCTGATGTGATCAAAGGGCTACCCAGAACTAAAACCATAGTGGAAAGTTCACTGACAATGTCAGCTTTCAGTGTTTTGTGGCAGTGAAATACAAACTCTGTATTACAAACTGTTAAGGAATGAGCATGGTTATGTTTCTGATTTCTGATTTCTTTCCTAGTGAAACAGGGAAATTCCTTCTTCATTCTAAAATGTTCCTAATCATATGTTCTTCTCTGTCAGATTCTGGGAAAAGAAACTTTACTTTTAAAGCAATGGAAATTGCCTTTTCCCATAACTGAAATTTGCAAGTCAGTATCTCATCATTCTTGGGTCTTCTACATGCCAGAACCTCAGCCTTCTTAGCACTGGTGCTGGTTAGCCCAAGCCTAACGAAGTTGACTCATATGTAACAACATTGATTTTCATTATTCTTGCTTCCATTAAGTATGTTGAGGGCTACACCCACAAACAGCTAAAAGTCTCCTAGAATAATTTATAGGAGGAATTTAAAACAGCAAACAGCATGTATCTCTGGTATACAAATGCCTTAAGGCTGCTTTTTCAACAGTTGTCCCCCAAGCCCTTCACTTTTCATGTCCTATAATAATAAATAAGGTTCGTTCAAAGCACTCTGTGTGTGTACCCAGCAATAAAAATATAGATTATATTCAAGCCATAAAAGCTAGGAATAAAGGCTTTGAGTTCTTCCATTCCAATAAAGTTTTTGCTTCTGTTTCACTGCTGATAGAATGTCGTAAATTTTGTCATATTCATGACACAATTATAGCAAAACATCTGTTTGTGGTTATGAACCGACAAAGTATACATACTTTTTGCTGATCAATAAAATGCGCAATAAATGTCGGGAAAGTTGACATCATAAATTAAAGCCAATGATAAGATATTTGGATTCAAGGGCGGTTAGGACAAACTCTGGTGCTTACAGCAGTGAAAAGGACAGAGACTAAAAATTGATTTGGGAGAACTTATCTACAAACCCTCCTAAAATCCTTCTTCATTGACACTCTTCTAACTTTTCCTTATCTGTTCAAAGCATGGTGGGAATTGGTAAGGTAGAAAGACATGTCTAGCTTTGATTTATACAAGGTTATATTTGGAAAGATTCTCATTTCATTTTGTAGGGAGCTCTGCGGTTATAAGAATTTTTCATACAATTAACACAATGAACAAACAAACATACATAATGTAACACCTCATTTAGCATGGCCAAGGAAAGACTTGTGAAGATGAATGATGTTACTTATATATTTTTTTACATCAGAATAAGAAGTTACATGAAACCAAGCCTCACTATTCAGAACAGCCGAGCTTGCTTTTCAATTAATATCAAACAAGTTTGTCCTCTCCTGTTGCTTGTATACAGGCAGAAAGAGAGAGGATCAATGTTGCCTCCATCTCTCTCCCCATCCCAAGGGGCTTAAAGTGATAAATACATCCAGTATGGTTGCGTCAGTCCCTCTTGAGTTCTGAAAACTACGAAGCCCCTAAGCGAAAGATTCCTGCATTGCAGGACTAGATCAGGCATAGGCAAACTCCGGCCCTCCAGATGTTTGGGACTACAATTCCCATCATCCCTAGCTAACAGGACCAGTGGTCAGGGATGATGGGAATTGTAGTCCCAAACATCTGCAGGGCCGGAGTTTGCCTATGCCTGGACTAGATGATTCCTTATGGTCCATTCAAATTCTATAATTCTATGAGCCTATGTATGTTCCCTGTGTTGGCTCCATTGGGTGATACCCAATTCTATACTCAGAGCAGACCCCTTGAAATCCATGGACTCATTCTGGATATGATTTCACCCATCAAGAATCCTCAATTTATTCTCTGCTTATTCTTCTTCTTTCAGTAAGTGAGCCCACTGTATAGATCTCAAGTTTTGTTTCTTTCGGGATGAAATGCAAATGTTATAGTGTAGTAGATCCAACGCCATTTCCTTGATTTAATAAATCACCTACACTTTTGTGAAAAAGCATTAGCGTCATCAACTTTCAAGACAAACATTAGTAACAAATGCTTAATCTTAATAATGTCACAATGGAAAGTGATTATTTTAACTGATTACTTCTGAGTTGGGAGAGAATGTTATATCAAACTTGACAAATGCAAATTTTTACTTCTCGAGAAGAGTTTAATCAGTTTAATGTGTCATTAAATTAACTGGCATTCCTCAATACCCCAGTGCAGCCACTGAAAGTCAGTCTGCTCATTCACCCAAAGCCCTGATATATTCAAAGTTAAGCTAAGATTGTTTTGGTAAAGGGAGTTTTATCATATTCTGTAAGGTAAGGTAAATTTGCATTGTTGTTGATCCTTCAAAGTCCCATTGATTTGAATGGGACTTGAATGGTAAGCACTTACTTAAATTCCATTGGACTCAGTAGGAATTATGGCAGAATTAACATTGCATATGTAATGCACAAAAATAAAACGTACAGAGGCTGATAAGCACATTCATCTGAACACAATTAGAAGTCCCCTTTGGGTCTACCTGCTCAGTGGCAGAAGGTTGGGGTGGTCACATGATTTCATGATACTGAAGGTGGGGCCAGCACATGAGCCCATACACTTCCACACATGTTGCTTGAGCACCCAAATAGGGCTATTGTTAGGCCCTTAAGTGTATTTAACTGTGGCTGGATAATCCCCATAATAAATAATACTCTCCTAGCAATTATCAATGCTGGAGAAAGTGGAGGGACTTACTTGCTCGTATTTAGTAGATTGAGATAAAAGGTGTGTTTTATTATACTTGTTTCTCACTCTTTGGAAGACCCAGAATGCCTTATTTTTAACTTGCAAACAATTTGTCATCCAGTAATTCACTAGATGGTGATGTATGTTTTTGTGTAGCTTAGACCTAAACACCTTTGCTTGGAAGTAGGTTCTGTTTTAATTCCATGGAATCAATTTCCAAGGAAGAGTGCCTTGACACCTAACTTTAGGAATATTTTGTGTACTGCGCATCTCCAGACTGACACTTCAAAAGGGAGGAGAAAATCTGGGTCTAGTTTTGAAGATGCAAGATTCAGGCACATCCCTCTCCTTAGCCCCAGTGCAATGGTAGTCTGGGATATCAAAGAAGAGAGTTGAATTGTCTGAAATGCAAAGCTAAGGCCATAAATTAAGACCTACAATTGTAATATATTTCTGCACATTTATGAAGTATTCGCCCATCATCATCCCCTCCCCATCACTGCACTACATAAACCTAGGTGTATTCATGCATTTTGAAAGGGCCATCTGCCCTTCAAAGATTCAGAACGATAATCTGAGGTATTATTTCAATGGGGAAGAGAGGACAAACTCAGAACATTGTCCAGAGGCCTCCTTTTAACATACCCTCAACATGGCAGAAGATTATTGCTATCTATGAGCCTGTACATAAGTCTCTCATGTGCATCAATGCCATGTACCCACTTAGAATATTGTTTCTAGGATGATGTGATCTAAGGGCAGAAGGCATTATTAGAACCTTTTTAATATCTTGTATTTTACAATGTTCCTAAATACACAGGTACAATTTCCTGACAAGTACAGTGTGGTGTTTTACTTCTGCAAATGTTCTTCCCTGTCTATCTCCACTAACCCTGATATGTGTAGGTTCAGCATGTATAGGTTCAACATCACATGAGTACATTTTGAAAACTGGTACTCTGGAACTATTAAAATCTACTAGGCCAAAGCTGGTTTCTAGTCTTCAAGGTCCTGTTAGTTAAAACTCCAGGGGTCTCATAATGCTAGAGGTGGTTAATCCCCCATCCCGCTTTTTGGCTCATGCTTGTTTTTATCTATCTTTTTTACTTTATGAATTCTCAAGTTATAATGAGAACTTTAAGCCTTGGCTTTGGCACCTTACCAACTATGGGCGGTGTGTGAAAGATAATTTCATTTCCAAAGGTATTGTGATTACACAAAAACACAAAAGCAATAATTCATGTTACCCAGCATCAAATAATTTTGCAGTATTGATTTTTTTTTGGGGGGGGAGGGGGAAGCTAGCATTCTGGTATCAAGGTCTGTCAGACACCAAATAAGCAATTGTGCAATTCTTTGCCAGTCTGCCTGATCCTGAGGCAGTTCCTGAGATGCCCAGGATTTCACAAGAAATGGGGGAGGGGGGAGAGAAAGAACAGTGTTGATGAGGAATAGGCACTTCCAGTATTCTTCAACTCCAGAAGTGTATTTTCACACTGCAGGCACCATCCTACAGTAACTGCTTCCCACTTATGGAGCATGTGTACACAAACACAGTATCATTTATTTTACATTATTTGTAGGTCACAGAATATTCCAGTGTGGAAGGTCGCTATTTAATACAACTGGAAAGCACTGAAAAACATTGCAAGAGAAACAGTGGGTGTGGGTGTGTGTGTGTGTGTGTGTGTGTGTATATATATATACACACACACACACACACACACGCGCGCGCTTTGGGAACAGCATTGAGTCTATGGGAAAACAGCTGGCTATCTCTAGTGTACATGATTTGTGCCTATTAACCATGTGTAAGCTATTTGTTCTTCAGCCATTCGTATCAGGTCCACAGTTTAACATTAGAATCCATACTCTTCGCATTTGCCTGTTGAAACTTTTGGTTTCCTAAGAAACAAATAGATGCTGTTTCCCAAGTTGTTGTTATTTGCATTTTCTTGGAGTGTGTAAGGCCAGTAGTTTTGTTTTACCGTAATAATAGTGCATTTATTCCATGATTCCTGTTATCTTCCAAGTGGCAGCTCAGCTCTACGCTTTATAACATTTCATCCCTGTTAACGTCTCTGTGTTGTTTTCATGTTAAAATTGTTTTCAAAAATACTATTTTTCTAGTTTTCTTTAACAACCATGACAAAATTGTGGAGTGTGCAGAGCATAGGATTTGGGGTTCAGTAGCCTTAAGTAGGGCCATCCTCAAACCAGACATTACAAAGAATCAGGTGTGGGGAACAGGGACATTTTCATCCTGAGGGCCATATTCCCTGATTGGTCAACTTCCAAGGGCTTCATGATGTCATTGGTGGACTGTGCCATAGGCAAGAGTGCATGGAGCCAATGATGCAGCTCTTCCTACTCCATCCTCCATCTTGGCAAAAAAATAAAAGAGGTATTATCATAGTCTGAAGACATGTTCCAACCCAGAAAACACAGAGGGATGTAGTGTGTGGCTTGCGTAGAGTTCCCATCAAGACTCATCTGCCCCTAGATTGTCTATCAGCTCTGTCTAATGGTGTGTATAAAATACTACTTCATTCAGTTAGGGTTACTGGATAAAGAAAAGTGACATTTTAAAGGATAAAGAAAAGTGACATTTTTAAGGCATTCCACATACCTTTGTTTCTTGAAGGGATTTTCAATGTGCTGACTAAAAAGAATTAAACTTGTCCTCCTCCTGTCTGCCCCATGCCAAAATAATCTTCTGCTTCTTTAAAAATATCCCATGTTCATTTCACATTTGCAGTTTTATATATTACATCCATCTGATGGGTCCTTAAAGTGCTTATCATTTCCTTTTTTCCCCAGACCCAATAGCTTAAATGTTCCCTGGTGTTAGCATGAGTAGCATGATTGAATTCCATGAACCTCATTATTTTTCAGTTTGTTGCATTCTCATGCCATAATTGATCTCTTTCTCACGAGAGAGGAAATAGCTTTCTTAAGGATCTTGGTGTATCCCTATAGATTAAATAAATCTAAATCCCACTGGATTTAATACATTTACTAAATCCCTAACAGGGTATCTTTCCTTTCTAACCATTTATAATTATGAAAGTCTTGGACCTGATGCTATTCTGACTTGAACAGTCATCAAATGGAGAACAATTCAATTAGCATTGTCCTTTTAACACCTTTTTAGAATAAAGCCTTCTGTGGGCAAACCTACAATCCTTCCCAGTGTCTGTGCTCCTGTCCTCAGCCTTTCCTTTATTAAACTGTCTTGTTCCCCCAGTAGCACACAGGCTGAAAAGATGGTGATTCAATCACGCTGCCTTGGGAATGGTGAAAGCAAAAGAGATGCTCTTCCACCCTGCCCAAGCAAGAGACCTCCATACTTGTCTGTGTCAGGAGTTCAGCCTACACTCAAGTAGGACCCTGGCAGAGACACATGACCAACTGGCATGTTCCCTCCCTCCTGGTTGATCGTTTGGGAGCTTCAAAAGCTTTCTTCAGCCCGAACATCACAGCGACTGATGCCAACCGACACTGGCACACTTAGAAATCTGCAGAGTTTGCGCATCATGCACGTGACAGACCTCAGCAACTCAGCATTTTGGCTAATCTACTTTATTTACATATAAACACACACGGAGCACTGCAACATGGCTCCCTCTCTCTCTCTAGCATCAGACAGCAAAGAGGGGCAAAACAAAGGACAATAGTCCCACTTCACGGAACACAGTTACACAAACATCCTGTCTTCATCACTTCCCACTCTGTGGAGTCAAAACATACACCGTCGTGTGATAGACAAAAATTCCATGACTGCATTCATGGAGCAGGAATTCTAACAGTCTGGTGGCAGTAGGTTAAGGAACTAGTTACTTGGGGTCAAAGACCCAGGAAGTGTTTTTAACATGGGTAGGTGCTTAAGGTGATTATTACACAATATTACACTAAAAATGAAATTGAAAAGGGATCCCAACTATACCGAAAGGACACAGTTCATGAAGAACATCTGCACTGTATATTTAAAGCACATCTAACACCCATTCAAATGGGTCCCCAAGATTCTGTCGTTGGTTAGGACTCGGTTTCACCTGCCTGAAAGAGCAGAAGGCAAAGTGACTCCACCTGCTGCTCATCAGCCTTCTTGCTCCTGATGAGAACCAGCTGGCTCCAGCTTTCTTAAGCAGGGATTCCAGCCTCAGTCAGTTGCTGGAAACAACTCCGGTCGTTCCTAACCAGGCCTTGCTGATTCTTGCTTCTAATGACCTTAGATCCTCAGCTTTCTTGACCCCCGGATCATCTGACTATGTGAACTGAGATGCTCCTGACCTTAGGACTGGACTGGACTTTGTATATGGAGTCTGCCTCCAGGCAGGTACCCCCCCCCAAGACTTGGCTGGTTGGCTGGCTTCTCTCTGCCCTGGCAGCCAGTTTCTGAGGGAAGTCATGGGTTGCCACATGGAAGGGAGAACAAGCTAGTTTTCTCCTGCTCAGGAGAGTAGAACTTGAACCAATGGCTTCAAGTTACAAGAAAGGAGATTCCAGCGTAAACATCAGGAAGAACTTTCTGACATCAAGAGCTGTTTGACAGTGGTACGGTCTCCCTCAGGAGGTGCTGGGCTCTCTTTCCTTTAAGTAGAGGTTGGTACAGTCTTCTGTCATGGATACGTTAGCTGAGATTCCTGCATTGCAGGGAGTTGGAGGCCCCTTCCAACTCTACAATTCTAGAAGTCAATTAATGGGTGCTAAACATGCTTTAAATGTATGGTGTGGATGACTGTCTTTTTCTCTCCTAACATTGTGGCTCTGTTTAGCTTGTCTTGGCTCCTACCACATCTAAGCTCTCAGGGCATGGAATGCAAGGCGCTGAAGTCAGTTTATGGGTTCTATAGTTGCACTTCTTCTCCCTTTGTCATTAGCCTTGGCTTCATCAGCAGCCTGATCACCTCAGGCTTAAGATTTACCTGTAGCCATAGTGAGTTGACAACCCAGTTAGCCATTGTAAGAGGCAAGGCAGCTATTCCATGCCTCCTACCCATGTTGGAAGATCAGCATGATGTCTGGTAGAAAATCATATAATAATAATAAAAATAATAATAATAATAATAATAATATATTAATAATTAATAATAAATATTTATTATTTATACCCTGCCCATCTGGCTGGGTCTCCCCAGCCACCCTAGGCAACTTCCAACAAAGTATTAAAATAGTGGTCTGTTAAACATTAAAAGCTTGCCTAAAGAGGGCTGCCTTCAGATGTCTTCTAAAAGTCTGGTAGTTGTTCTTCACTTTGACATCTGGTGGGAGGGTGTTCCACAGGGTGGGTGCCACTACCGAGAAGGCCTTCTGCCTGGTTCCCTGTAACTTGGCTTCTCGCAGTGAGGGAACCGCCAGAAGGCTCTCGGCGCTGGACCTTTATTATTTCAATGTGACTAGCTACTGTTCTACTTGTATTAGATGTACCTAAAGTTCTGCTGTTCACAAACACAGGAAAATGTTATCTTCAAAAGGGAGAGAGTTGCATTTTTTTTCTCATGTTTAAACCGAGCTCCAATTCATTCATCCTATTAAAGTTTAAATATTTTGCATTTGAAGCTCTGCACTAATATTTTATTCTAGAAAACATTTCATTATTTCAGTTGGTGTGATGTGCTTTGGAGAAATTGTCCTCATAATGTAACTCTTCAGTCTCAGTAGGCAGGCGTTAGTGGAGAATGGAGGGTGAATCATTGTTGAGAAGCTGCATATTTTAAAGTTGAAATCAATGTACTTACCAGTGATTCTCAACAAAAAGCAGTTTTGATGTTGACAATTTCCCACATATTCTTTGTGTAGTCAGTATATCTATATGTTACACTTGTCTGAATATTGGCATCCAACAGTTTTTAATATCAGGCATGCAATGGTGTTCAGTACTTAACAGTATAGATGGCTGACATGCAGTAGTAAATTGCAATGTTTCAATCTTCCTACCTTCTGGGAACATTTACCATACAAAATCTACCCAGGAACCTCTACATGTTTGACAAAGAATCCCAGGGCATTGCATAGGAATCTGGAGAACATGTTGTAGGGCAGGGATGTGAAACCTGTGACCTTCTAGATGTTGGTCTCCCAGTTCCCATGAGTGGATCTCTATCCTTGTTCAGTTTACATGGGGGTGTGTTGCATCTCACTGAGAGAGCTTGGCAAATATCTTCCTGGAAAGCAGTTTCGAAACTTCTGTTGTCACATTTAACAATATTTTGTGCCAGTTACGGAATAATATTTAACAGTAAGAGAACATTTGATGTACAGTTGGACATGTAATGATTGACATCTGCCAGCATTTCATACAGGACAAAGTCGAGGTGTCTAAAAGCAACACCCCTTATGTGTTGTAACCCACTGCCTGGCAAAAGCAAGACATTCACCATTTTAAAAAATACATATTTCCTCTGCCTTGTAATCTTGCCTTGTATAGGCAAGTTGAGGGAGCCACACTGTATAAAATACCATTGTCCTTCCATAGGCTCTTATTTATCTAGCATGTTTATCTAGCATGCTCCAAGGAGCTCAAGACAACATGCATGGAATCACACTGTTTTATCCCCAAAAGAACACTCTGCAATGGTGGTTACACTGAATTTTCCCACAGTGAAAACAAATAGTGAAAAAGTTTTCCATGTTGTTTTTTTTTTAAAAAAAATACCCCTCAGAATATGGTATGTACCAGAAATTCTCCAGTATATGTCTATGAACATCGGTCTGTCTGCATTTACTATGCTTGGTGTGCTC